AATCCACTCTGTCTTGATAAGCACTCAAACTAACCAGTCAGCCGTCTGCTATGACCTCATGTTAGCTCAAATATGTTACACATTATTAACCTTCTCCTCTTCTGTCTCCTTCCTCTTGTGTCCTTCAGGGCTTTTATGCTTGGGGAACCACATGTCAAGAGAATGAAGACCTCTTGGAAAATGTAAATGCCATGCATGACCGCTGTGACATGCCATATGAAACAATATCACATTCAAGTGTTCCTCACCTCAGGAATATTTTTCATTCATTTAAATCATCTAGGAAACCTCAACTATTCAAACATTCTGGCAAAGATTAACAGGGCATGAGTAAATGTTCCTGTCTCATAATGAGACTGAAGATTTTATATTAAAGAGTCTGAAGCTGTTTTAAATTGATAACAGAGAATTATGTGGCTCTTTATTTATACATATTCTGTCATTTAAAGATAGGAATGGTGATTCTTTTCAGAAACATTTTTTGTTACATATTTTGAAATTCTCTTTTCATCCCGATGGCAACGAATACATTAAACACACTGACAACATAAAGAAAAAAATCTGTTATCTGTGGCAGCAGCAGGACTGAAAGAAGCCTGACCAGTAATTTTACTTGTCCCAAGTAAAACCATCAGATGATCTACCTTCCTGTCAACCTACATCCTACTTGTGAGTGCAGTCAATGCTCTGTTTTGATGGCTAACGCTAGCAAGCTATGGTAGAGAAGGTCCCAACAGCAGCTTTTGGTTGCAAACGGAGACCGTTGTCACCTGCATCTTCTTTAGTGGAGTTTTTTTTTTTGTTTGTTTTTACCCATTTGCTAGAGTTTTCTCAAATTAGTATCCTGTATCACTTCTCCTTCTCCTTTATGACAAATGGCCTTATGGGTGATGTTGTTGTTGTTGTTGCCAGAAGTTTCTACCTATATGGATTGTGAGGAGTATGAGAGCGAGAAGACCGCCGCACAGAACAGACTCCTTTCACATGTAGCCACGGGTGGAGAAAATACCAACAGTAGTCAGCTCTAGGTGTAAAGATGGGACTATAATGCAAAGGCCACATGCAGTGATCACATTACCAAGACGGAATAAACCCTGTGTTTTGAATGGCGTTAGCTGGCCTCCCTCTTTACTTCTCCCTACCGGAAAAGTCTGGACTTCTAAAGCTAGTTACCAGCTACGAGCCAGGGCTAAAACAGTGAACATGAACCAGAGGTTTGGGACCACAGGTCTGGGCAGGTAACACCGTATTCGAGAAGGTTACAACTAAAAAAGAAGTTGGGTGCTGCAAGAAGTAAAATCAAAACTAACCTTGGTGTGGCTTTTGAACGACATCGACAACAGAGAACAAAAGGGGCTGAACGCTGACGGCATGGTGGCCATATTTCTACTGGACAGGTAATTATCGGTTTGGTTTTGTTTTGTTTGGGAGGCATTTGTTATTTTCCTGACATCTGTATATAGTAGTCAGGCAGTGCACGTTGTTTTTTGGAGGAGTGGCTTTGGAGACAAGTTAGAACAAAAGGGTGGGATTTCTTCTGGTGTTTACTTTGAAAATCGAGCTTCCTCATGCTGGTCTTTCCAGGCTCACCAAGTCTACCTTTAACACTGTTGTATGCGTACGGCCTTTCACCGTCTCCTACCTGCGCAGCACTGGGTTGGCAGATGCCGTGCAGGCAGTAGAACTTGCGGCAGGCCTGACAGCCCGGCAGCACCCCTGGCTTCATGTGGCTTCGGGTGAAGTCCTGCAGCTCATGGTTGATGTAGAGGTTCCTGATGCAGCCATGGAAACTGGACATATTGAAGATCTGAGAGGAGAGGCCCTGAGTAGCAGGCATCACCTCTTCAGGCATACCTGCAGAAACAGAAGTCAGTCATGTCACAGACACTTGTGCCAGTTTTTGGTGGGTGTTTGTCTGGGTTTGAGTGTGCCGCCACCTTGATCTTACCTCCCACATACAGAGGAGCCTCCCTTATTCCTGGCTGGCTCCACCCTGACTGTCCAGGGTCGTGGGCTCACCTCCATCCACTGACAAGTTAACCATCTGATTAAAGGTCACAAGTTCCACCGTGTGGAAACGCCCATCATTTACCGTCTCAGGGCTGTTCATAGAGGGTGTAAAACACAGAATTTATGTTAAATGTACAATGTAGAAACTTAGGTGAATGGCAAAGAGGGAACAGGGAAATGTTTCATGTTCTGCTGCCAAAGTATTTTTGGTATCTGTACCAAAATATCAGCAGATTACAGAAAGAGAAATCACATCGGCAATAGCGTTAAGACTTGTGTGATTAAAGCTGCTTGAACAAGATTTGACCACTAGACTGCAGAAGATGTGTGATTAAAGCTGCTCGAACAAGATTTGACCACTAGACTGCAGAAAACCTCCAAAAGCAAACGGACAAACTAAAATATAAAACTAAAATATCAGCAAGTGACTTATTGTTTTTAAGGGCTGGGGAACTATCTGCTGTGTTTCCTTTGTGTAGCTACGCTGCTCAACATCTACATTTAGAAGTGTGTTTGTATCTACCTGGTAAATGTCAATATTTACTTTCCCTTTAGCTCCAGCTTGGTGTCAACTGACTCCTGACAAAAATGGCTGGCTCTTAAACTTTCTATGTGCTTGTTATTTTCACATCCATTTCTGGACAAGGCAACTTTCAGGTTTGAAGTAACGCTATGATTGGGATTTAATGCTCAGTTCATCTTTTCTTTCAACTTCTCTGCCGCTGCTCATCACACAAAACGCCTTAGAGAGTGTGTGTGTTTGTGCGTGTGTGAGTTGCTGGCCAAGCCTCTTCCTCCTCCTCCTCCTCTTCAACAGCGTACCATCCGAACATTTAAGCCCTCAACACCGGATCAAGTGGACACTCAGCTTCAAGTGCCCTCTGGCCGTGTCTGTTATAAAACCAGAATTCCCACACTGCTGATCATGCCCATCCACATTCCCAAATCCTGCACAAGTCTCTCAGAGCAACAACACAGATCATGCACTGACATGCGGTGTTGCTGGGCTACAGTTAGCTGACAGGCTGCTCAGGGCTCGGCAGGAGTCCACTGGATCAGCTGGAGAAATCTTAGGATGAGAACTCCTTAATCAACCTGCAGCTGTGGGCTGGAGTTAAACATGTTGAGCTGATCAGGTGCAGCAGTTATATTTAGTTCACTGTAGGGTTATTGTTTTACTTGGTTTATGGAGGCATGTTCTGAGCTGTACATGGTGCAAGATGACATTATTTACTATAACGTGTTGCAGAACACAACACTTGGATGTACAGAAGCATAAAAAACAGTTTCAACAGATGTGCTTCTTTTAGAAAATCAGTGTAGTTTTTGCTATGTAAAAGAATAAATAAATAAAAATGAAGAACTGTAATTACAAAGATACTTCACAGTTTTTGGCCAAACAACTATTCACTAAAAAACAAGAGGAGATGATAGCTGACTTTATATCAGAAAAGACTCAACACTTTTATGCACTTCACCGTATAAATGTGTGCTTCAACGCTGCCTATTTGAAATGCAATCTGTTGTCAGAGTATGAACACACACCTCAGCCATGTCCAAGGCTCAAGGCGTGTCAGAGAGTCATTCCCATCCTCTCCATAGAGAATCTGAGCTTCTCCCCACGGGAAGGTTTAGAGGCCCAAATACAAAAATCATTTCTTTTGCCATCACTCTATTCATGTCTAGGGTTGAGCACTAGCTGTTGGTCAGCTTTGTACCGATGGTGCTATGGTGACCAGGTAACTGGATGATCGATTGGACCATCTTATTTGCATTTTAAAAAAATATACAGTACAGAGAATTAAGAGCAAAACTACCAAGCCTAAGTGCCTGCATTTGTATAGCACTGTTATTCAAAGCACTTTACCATTTGCATCTTATTCACTCATTGTCTGTCTCTCTCACACACACACACACACACACTCAACAGTTGCCATCAAAGGTGTCAGCTGAGCACTGGGAGCAATCTGTGGTCCAGAGTCTTGCTCAAAGACACGTGGACATGTAAACAGGAGATCAAACCATCTACTTCCTAAAGTCAGGGCTGTCCATGATGCCAGGTACACAGTGCACGGCCCTGGCTTCTGGAGTGTACTGGATCCTTGTGGCAACAGACATTGTAGTAATAAGACCTGCGTGTGTGTCTACCTGTAGATAGCGGTGGCTGGCTGGTTCCCAGGGTCATAGGTGACCCTGACATGACCCTGATGGAGCTCCACAGCGATTGGCTCGTTGTCTCCATTGTAGAGCAAGACACCGTTGTCCTCTGCTGTTGACACCTGAAATGCACACACATAAAAACACATAGTGTGTGCGTTAGGGTTCGATATTTGTTCTGTTGACATCTGTCGTTTACAGAATGACATCTCTCTGCGTGTACTCACCTGCAGTGTGATGTTGGCTTGAGGCCAGTTCTTCACATCTTGAAGCTGAACGTAAGAATCTCTGTCGACAAAGTTGACACTGACCAGCTTCTCACAGCTCGGACCCTCAAAGCCTGGCAGACACTGGCACACCGCGCTCCCACTCGTGTCCTCACAGGGAGCGCCGTTCTGACACCGAGCCAGCTGGCAAGGCGAAGGGGGAGGAAGCACCACCTCACAAAACTCACCACTGACAGGAGCAAAGAAGACGCCAAATTGTGCCTTACATCAAAATGTGGTTTCAATTTCCAGTTTTCCCAGAGCTCCCATTGTCTCAGCAACAGTATCTACAGTATCCCACATGTTCCTGTGTTCCCAGTATTTCCAGTTTTTTAAGCGTTCCCAGTACCTGTATCCCTGCGGGCAGACGCAGCTGTAGCCGTCCAGATGGTCGACACACTGAGCTCCGTTCTGACAGCGATGATCCACACACTCATTGTAATCGATGCTGCATTCTGGCCCCACCCAGCCTGGGATACACACACACCTGTAACATGCATAAACACGCACACACATGCACGTATACGTGATAAGAACCTCAGCAGAACGATATCTGTGTGCATCTGTAATTTAAATCTCATCCGCTGAGTCCAGCAGTGATGAACGAGAGGTGCATGTCACCTGGGGCCAGTAGGAGTGCTGATGCAGGTGGACTGATGCTGACAGGGGTTTCTGCCTGGAGAACACACACCCTCCTCTTCCTCACAAAACAGACCTGAGAATGAGAGGAGGCAAAGAGAGATTATTAAAAGAGCGGGTACACGCTTTCAGACTGAATCACTTCTCCCCTCAGGTGAGAGAGGATGATTAGAACAACAGCTCTGCTCTGCTGCCACACCTGTGTAGTTTGGAGGACACAGGCAGGTGTAGTTGCCAACTCCATCGACACAGGTGGCGCCACTCTCACATCCGTGGTCCTGACAGTCGTCCATGTTCACCTCACAGAACGTACCGTGAAAACCAAATGCACACGCACAGCTGGACACGCACAAAGAAATGAACAAGCCGTCATTTTTACAGCTACACAGAAAATAAAATCGAAAACAAAAAAGATAAAAGTTCAAAACATATTCACAGCTAGAGGCAACAGGTAGATGTTGATACCTGAACCCTCTGGTCTGCTCGTCACTCAGGCACGTTCCTCCATTGGTGCAGGGATTGCTGACACAGGCATCGACTGGAGTCTCACAGTTTTGACCCTGAGTTCACACACACACACACACACACACTGAATACAGAGCATATTTTGACCAGCAAACGTTAGATCAGGCCAGACCAGTACTTTGATGGGATTCTCAGAGACAGGTGTGAGTGCTCAGACACACAAACACAATACTGGACCAGTGGTTTTACACTTTCAGCCCACTGTTGATGAAGTGACGACAAAACAGACAAACTCGCCACCTAGATCCAGCGAGCCGCTCTACAGCAGGCCACGGGCATACAGAGCTGCCTACCGTGAAGCCGGCCTTGCAGGCGCAGGTGTACAGCTGTGTGTGGTGGAGCTGGCAGACGCCCTGGTTCTGGCAGGGGGAGGACACACATGGGCTGCATTTGGCCTGAACAGACGCCTCCACAGGACCTGACGACACACACACACACAGAGGCCAGCCAGAGATTTCAACGAGTTATGAATAAGACATTGTGCAACAAACATTACAAACGCAGCTCCATAAAAACTGTACATGTGCTATAACAAGAGAGGGATTTTTGACCTTGGCACTGTTAGGCTGTGTGCTTTTCACTGGTGTTATGTTTAAATAGCACTTTAAACCTAGTTATTTCCTGTTTTTAGCTGTTATTATAACACCTTTTAAAATGAGATTAAATTCAAAATCACCTCTGAACTTTTTCAGCTTTTATCATTTCACAACTTTAATTCACTATGAATTAGAGCTTTTCAATTAAATGAAAAAATTGAATGCACATCCCTAAGCACTAATATAAAACACTGAATAAAAGATCACTCTGTATTATCGCAGCTAAATCACCACTGTCTCAAAAGTCACGCTGAAGGTTTAATGCAATTAGTGGCTACTGCAATATTACTGTATTATAGCTTTATAAAAATGATAACATCTTTAAAAAGCTACAAAGTGTTTCACAGAAAAATAAAGAAGCAAACAATGAAAAGAGGCATGGTGGGGCTGTGGTTAGTGCCGTCGCCTCACAGCGAGAAGGTTCTGGGTTTGAGCCCCGGTCGACCCGGGGTCTTTCAGTGTGGAGTCTGCATGTTCTCCCTGTGCCTGCGTGGGTTCTCTCTGGGTACTCCAGCTTCCTCCCACAGTCCGACGACATGCAGCTTAGGTTGACTGGTGACTACAAACTGCACGTAGGAGTGAGTGAGTGTGGTTGTTTGTCTACATGTCAGCCCTGTGATAGACTGGTGGCCTGTCCAGGGTGGACCCTGCCTCTCGCCCACTGTCAGCTGTGATTTGCTCCAGCCCCCCTATGACCCTAGTCAGGATAAGCGGTATAGGTAATGGATGGATTTCAAAGACATCACAGATGTCGAATGTCAATGCACACAGTTTTTTGACAACAAAGGCCCTGGTATTTTTTGTCACCAGTAGACAACCATCACCAGCTGAACTCCATCCACTGATCTCAGTGGGGGCAGAGACACATAAAGAAAATGCTAAATCAAATATGTGTTTTGGACCAAAAACATTTAGTGCTTTAAAAGTAAACAGAAGAATGTGAAAGAGAACTGCAACTGTCCAGGTGAGAAAAAACTAAGTTTGTGTAAATTAGCAGTATGATTCAGTTTAAGTAGAACACACAACTGCGTATAACAGCCAGGTTTGGCTGTTTGACATGGAAAGGGTTAAAAGCAGCCAGAGGACTCAGACTGGATTCAGATGTGGCCTCCTTCCTTTTGGATGTGTTAGCATCTAAAGCTAACCTGTTTGTTTTGGTAGCATTAGCCACCTAGCATGGTCAGGATTTTATTTTAATTTGGGAGGAACTGGAGCTTTGTGTCATGCTAGCAGTAACCAGTGTTCTACTGTGGCATTTTCCAGTATCTGTACTTCTCTGTACTTGTGTTCTTGCAGAGTTGTCTAACATCATCAGTCATAGTCCAACTGTTCCAGTTCAAAGTCTGCATCCACACCAAAAAAACCAGAAGCATTCTGCACATTTTATCAAGGATGCTTTGGGAGCTGACTTGTGTGGCTCAAAGCTGTGATCATTTTCATCCTACAACTGGTATTATGTCACTTTATAAACTCCCGAGTACAGGAGTCTGAACTCAGCGTATTTGGTACTGAAGAAGTTCCTGGACTGACACATTTACTCGTTAGTCTGACCAAGGGCTCCATTTTGTACAGCTGGTCCCAACTAGGCATCTCTAATTTACATCATCGCCAGACAACAGGATGCGATGGGAGGAGCAAAGAGCGGCTCATGGTGTCAGTTTGTTATCTAGGCTGAAAAGACATTAAGTAGAGCAGCTTCAAGAATAGTGGCCAATACACTTTTCATCTCTCAAATGTCAATATGTTAAACTCACGCGTTGATATAATTTTCACAGTATGAAGATGTCTGCCTTCAGGCAAAATTGATCAGACAATTAAAGCAATTTTTCAAATAGATTTTTACTTCTCAGTTAAGGACACTGTGTGCTGCAGCGTCTTCAGTTGTGACGTGTGTGTAGGAGTGAAAGCAGACAACTCTTGATGAAGGTCACACAGACTAAAAATATTCCTTGTATTAAATATCATCTATTAGGAAGTGAAGACAGATTGTGGGTGTTTGTTCTCTTAGATCATTTTTCAGATGAAATGACAGAATGGCACAGAGTAGCCAATTAACTCTGTATTCATCACTAATCAGTTAATAGGCATTGATACATGTTAAAAGGCTTAAAATGAAATTACTAACAAGTAAAATATGTTCATTCAATAACAAAGTGCACAAATACACATAAAGAAAATACCCTGAAACAAGCCAGACATGAAGCTACAGCTGCTGTTTCATGTTCAGGTTAAGGTGTGTTTTATAGGGCGGACTCCTGCCAGCTTACCCAGACACTGGAACTTGTCAGCGGGTGTGGTGAGCAGCAGCTTGCCCTCCATGCCATGAGGGCCGGCACAGCGGGCGATACCGGGCTCCTTATAGCCGCTCTTTACCCAGTCAGACAGCCAGAGAAGACGGCAGTCGCAGTACAGGGGGTTGGCTCCGATCGCTCTGAAGGAAGACACGGAGTCAGGAAGAGGATTTGATGAGGTTTATTAAAAATTTATAGAACTGAAGGTTTGGAGGATTGATGGGAGGATGGAGGTGGATTTTAAAATCATTTTGGCAGTATTGGACAACTGTTTGCTACTCAGGTAACATTTGTTTGCTTTGTTATAGTTTTCGTGGTATGATTGTATTCAACAGTTTTGATCTTTGTTTTGCTGGTTCTGTTTCTATGTATAACCTGTTGTGAGAAAGAGGATGAAAATGGGGGGAAAGAAGAGAGGGATGGGTACAGAGAGTAAAGGGTTGTAAAAACACCTTTGAACAAATTGATATAAAAAAGAAGAGCATGTGGCAGGAAGTGAAGAATAAGAAGAAGCTGAAATTTTAAAAGGCAAAACAAAACAAAAAAATGGGAAAAGGTGGAAAAGAGAGGAAACCAGGGAGGAAGAGTAATGGACCTGTATTACCATTTTCTGCACTAACTTTCTGAGCCACACGGTGGAGCTCTCACTCCTCACAGCTGCTCAGTGAAACACACACACACACACACACACACACACACACACACACACAGCACCATGGAGATATAACGATATTCATGTAGACCAGATCAATAGAGTCACCCAATAGAACACAAATCTCACTCATCATGTGATGCTCCGACACGACCAGCGTGTCTCAAAGTCATGAGCGAGTGCTGCACAGGGACAAGGTGAAAGTCAGGAAAGCACTTCCTGTCTTTCACGTAATGTCACACCACCACGTTCACACAGAGTTACACGAGGGGATTCTGGGAAGTCGGCAAACACCTATATTCATAGTTTCTATTAGTACTGAGAGCTGAGGCTGCACAGACAACGTTAGCAGTCAGACCACAGACAACAGTGAGGCCAATCACTGCAACCATAATAATGCATTTTATTTAGAAAGGGCTTTTCAGGATTTCAGAACTGAGATTTTTGGATCACACTTTCCATTTGTTGTTATAATGGGTGAAATAATAAATAGAAATGTAGTAATGTTGGGCCATTGTTTAACAAAGCAACTGAATTCCTCCACTAAATGTGGAAACACACCTTCAGATTCCTGACAAGTAAAAACATCAGAGGACCCTCAAAAGCAAAACAAGTCAATGTTATTGACAGAATAAGTTATAGGAGAGGATTTTACAGCCCGATTCATTTCCTTGATAGACTGAGAGTCAGCAGGATCTTATTTCTGAGATTATGCCATGCTTCAGGAGACAAAATAAATAAACACCACTCCCTCCCTCCTCCTTTCACCTCCCACTCACATCCTTCCCCTCCCTCCACTCTCCACCACTTCTTTTCTTCTCCTCGTCTTTAACCTCCATCATCGATCCCTCTCCTCCTCCCTCCACATGCAGAGCCTCAGATTGACTCACACTGGCCATGCTTGGCTGAAGATGATTATACTGTATATGCAGACACACACAGGCCTCAGATCAATCCAGCCATGGCAAACAATGAATCTCTCAGCAATTCACTCCCCCAGGCTGATCTGAGAACTGGCCTCTACCTGACTGGAGCCATAAAGACAGGAAAATGAGCATACGGCACAGTCACGATGACGCTCCTTAACCCCGTACCCTGACCTTCATCATCACAACTGGGTGCCTAACTTCAACCCCTCCTCCCTTCATCCTCAGCTAACCCTAACAGACTCAAACAGCCCATTGCAATTGTGAGGATCAACCACTGAACTTAAATTTGTCCACAGCACCACAGAAAGATGTGCCCACACACACACACACACTGACAAACTTCATTCTGTCGGTGGGGACGGACCTTGTTGTCTGTAACACTCAGCTGGTGCCGTCATTATGTATGTCTGTGTGTAGGTGAGTGCTTACAGGTGAGACAGGGAGACCACGTCGCTGAAGATGCCCTGCTGCAGCTCGGAGATGTCGTTGCCATGGAGAGAGCTGAAAGACAAACGCAGCTGAGGGTCAGAACAGGTCAGACTGGAAACTCAGAGAACACAGAGAATCTGAAAAATCAACTCTGCAACAGAGGAACATCTAAAGTCCAAAAACTGATGATGGCTCGCAATGAGCAAGCAGATGACAGTCATGTGATTCAGTATGGCATGGCGCACGCGCGCATGTGTGTGTGTGTGTGTGAGCGCTCACAGCAGTCTCAGAGAGCGCAGGCCGCCCAGTGCAAGAGGAGGGATGCAGTGTAATGAGTTGTAACTGAGGATCCTGAAAAGAGAAAAATGTGACACTGAACAAACACAGTCTGTTCTGAAACCAGTTTTAAAAGATCCTGCACCAGTTTCACACTACGTTCCTACAGCACTGTCAGACAGGTACATCCAAATCACCGCAGCAGAACCAAACATAGTCCTGCTAATTCCACACATTCTTTTTCCTGGTCAAACCCTTGCAGCTCACATTACCCACAGTGCAATTCACCTGCTGACAGCTGGATTGGAGATTTGGCTGTTTTTCTAGCAGCAACTAATGTAGCCTGGAGCCTCCAGCCTCATGCAGAGATGAGGAGCGGGCTTCTGGTGACTTCACTTCTTTCTAAACCCACATCCCCGACTTTTTTTTTTTTTTTTTTTTTTTTTTTTAGGCTTGTAGTCTTCATCCCCAACTGACGCGGATCACTTTCAGGACGTTTATGAGGACTCACACAGCTCCCTGTGGCACCACAGAAGGCTTCATAAAACATGTTTTACATGTGCACCAGTAGGCCTGCTCCCCTTCAGCAGTGCAGATGCACATTCTCCACCAACTCCGGAGATTTGTTACATTTTTATGTCCTGACAGCAAGAGCTGTCATTTTTCTCTGGGTTTTAATCCACATGGTTGAGGTTGTAAAAACACAGGAAGAGTAACTTTGTCTTGGTTTTTTATTTATATGATCCTTTTTTTGTTGTTGTTTGTTCTGTTTATAATGATTGTATTTGCTGTAATGTTTGTAACATTTGTAGGGAGCCCAGGAAGAGTAGCAGATGTTTCTACATCAGCTAATGAGGATCCTAATAATCAAATCAGGTCCAGAGGGAAAACATCTCCACCACTACCAGACAGATCTACATAAAATGTAGTCCTCATCCTCATTAGTACTACAAGTCTCAGATGATGGTGGTTCTCTATGATTTTTTTCATGATGTTAGTGATGAACATCTTAAAGGAGCCTGTCGCTGTTTTATCACGTTTGGCGTTTACCAGCCAGGGAGGGTTAACAGAATGAGCCGGTGTTTTTGGAGGCTGATTCACACTAGGGACTAGGAGTCAGTACATCTGCTGCTCTGTCTTTTTTTTTTAACCAGTCCTAAGTGTCCCAAGGCTTTATGAACATACAACATTAAAACTCTCTGGAGTTCATAAAGCCATAAAGGAATCAAGAGTTATTCCTGGAAAGAATTTGACTGGAAGTTGAAAAAAAGATATTTTATGATACCAACAATTGTGTTGATAGAGATAATACAAAACATGTGGACAGATAGGAGACCACTCATATCTTCAGGGACAGCCTGGTAATGCAGGGATATTGGCAAAATCTTCTTCTTCTACTTTTGGCTGTTCCTGTTAGGGGTCGCCACAGCGAATCATCCGTTGCCACCCAACGGATGATTCACATGTTAAACTTGGCATGTTTTATGCTGGGTGCCCTTCCAGACGAAGTCTAATTTAGAGTTGCCAGTCAACCTAACCTGCATGTCTTTGGACTGTAGGAGGAAGCCAGAGCATCTGGAGAAAACCCACGCAGGCACAGGGAGGACATGCAGACTCCACACCGGGTTGGCTGGGGCTCGAGTATTATATAATATTATCATTATTATATTATTATCAATGGACAAAAGGACTAGAACAAACATATGACAGCCCACCTACAAATGAAGATGGACTCCTGTGAAAATACCCGAGACTCTGATATGTCAGTAAATACTCGTCAACTCAATGTTAGCAGATATCTGAGAAATAAAGTCCAAAAGGAAAAGAAAATCCTTTGTATTTCAAAAGCCACATAGAGTTCCTTTACCCTCAAGGAGCCACTTGATGGGTTGCTGACCTTTAGCATTTCTTAACTGTAACTCTTATTTACTGGGTTATACAATTTTGTATTGAAGTGAGCGCCATGCCTAACACACTGTAGAGCTCAAGCTGAGTCTAGCAATGCTCTAACACCTCACACTGTGACTATGGCAGCCCTTCTTGGAACAGCTCCCCTCCAATGGTGGCTTTTTAAAACTCATTTGAACTTATTAAACTGACTGTCTTTCATTTTTGTGTGGACTCCTTCGACATCTGACTGAGGACGTTTGTGTGTGTGAACTCACAGGGTGGTGAGCTGGCTCATGTTGGAGAAGGAGTCGTCGGACAGGGAGCTGATTTTATTGTTGCTCAGATCTCTGCAGAGGCAAAGGTCATAACCATCAATACACACAGAGAGTATACTGCAGGAGTCGTCCCCCCCCCCACACACACACACATAAAATACACACAGAGACACACAAGCGGATAACACACACTGAATTCTTTCTCCCCATAACACACACATACTCACACAGAGACACATGTTTTTCCAATATTATACATAAAATGACCCACTGAGTTCAGGTTCACATGAGAAAGTTAGTGTTGTTACATGACTATGCAATATGATGCTTCTCCCCACAGAACCAACTGTACGGCTACAGCGCCCCCTGTTGGCCGTGTTCATAAATACACTGACACATGTAGCTGTTTTACATTTGGAGTCTAACATGACAAAACGGAGGTTTTATATCAAAAGGTGAGGATTTTTAAGATCAAAACATAAAATAAAACGCTAACTCAAAGGTCAAAGTGGTGAACCTCGGCTTTAATTCCACATCTACATCAGACGGAAAGGGCAGGAATTATTTTATATACAGTACGGATCCAAAGTTATAGAAGCCAAACTGTAATAGACCTTTTTTAGAAAGTTAAATAAAGTCATTATATTTCATATTTGGGTGCCACAGTCTTTGTTTCACTTCAGGTCCAGTGTATAAAAACCTTCTGACTGCACGCCATATTAAAATAGAAAGTCAGTGAACATAAATGTTCATGTTGGCAGAGGCAGCACTGTTTTAACAGAAAGAGGGTGAGGAGATACAGGGTATTAGTGGGAATCGTGTTAGTCGAGTGTTTATGTAGTAGAGGAGGAACAGTATCTTACTTACACAAGCTGCAGGTATTTGAAGGTGGCCAGCTCTTTGGGAACACTGGTGAACTGGTTTCCATCAAGATACCTGAGAGTACAAGAGCCCAGGTTGAAAAAAGAATAGTTTGAATGGAGGACAAAGACAAGAGGAAGCTACGCCAGCGTCCTGCTGACCGGAGACAAGCGCTGCTCTGGCTGTGTGATCAGACTCACAGTTCAGTCACGTTGCGGGGGAGTCCCCTGGGCAGGGCCTGGAGGTGTTTGTTGCTGCACCGGACCACCGTGTCCATACATGAGCACTGGTTGGGACACTGAGGCCCTGGAGCACAGCTGCTGTCCTCCAACACAGAGGCTGAGACAGACACACAGGAGAGGGAGCTCTGCTCACTTCACACACACTGCACAGTTAGAAAAGACTACAGATTTTACTTTTTTTTATTTATTTATTAACAGTCACAGCATCCTCTGTAAGTACAGAGAATTTACATCTGGCTTTTTGGCTTTGCTTGTCTTTTAATTATTTTTCTTCCCTAGTGTATTTGTGTTTAGATTTGAGTGTGTGCATCGTACCGTCCTCGCAGCGGAAGTCAGGAGCAGCTACGTCCTGTAGTGGGATCTCTCTGAGGAAGCCGGGGGCCTGGCAACGAGGATTTCCCGTCACGATTCGTCGGCTCCGAAGCCAAGCCCCAAACCAAGACAGACGGCAGTCACAGTTAAACGGATTGGCCAGGAGGTTCCTGATGGACATGTAGGAGACAAAGACAAAGGGTATAATTCAGTTCCCTTAACTGCATCTATATTTCTCTGTCTTGCATCTAGTCCCACCCACGTAAGATGCTAGGAAAGGATGCAAGGAAAGAATGCAAAGACAGACAAATCAAGGAAACACTTTTTAAGAGACACAGATGTCCTTCCCTCCGATCCTTTATCTGAAGGTTCCAGTCACTGATTTCCGATAAAGGGGCACATCAGTCCATAAAAGACATCTATGAAGGATGCTCCCATGTGTCCTGGCTCATGGCTCCTCCAGCAACCTCCTTGCTCCTCAGAGCAGAACTAAAAGCTTTGGGATGTCCTTCAATATAGCCGACCAAAACAACTTCTGGGTGGAGCAAGGATCGAAGAAAGATCAGTTAAGGGAATTGAGATTTACCCAACGAGAGACCATGGGTGTTTCCCATTCTCTTATTGTGCATGAGGGGTCCTCACTAGACTGTACTCCTGGGTCAAGCAATGACTGAGGATGTTTCAAGTCCGTCATATGGGCTGTGAGGAGCGAGGAGGCTGCTGGAGGAGCCTTGACCGAGGATACACGAGAATAATCTGGAGAGAAGTTTTTATGAACCGACGTGCCCCTTTATCAGAAAACATTTGGTCATTGGATTCTTCAGATGATAGATAGGAGGAAAGGATGTTTCACAAATAATGCATTTCTTTGATTCCTCCCTCCTCACATTGTTTCCTCATATCTTATGAGCGTGACTAACATGCAAGGAGAAGACATAAGTGAGAGAAACAACTACCCAGACAGTGCAGAAACACCCATGTAGTGAATGCATATGTACAGGGACAGAACGCTGGGAGTGTGCTGCTTCGCAGGGACTGGAAGTCGCTTGTGGGGTTGGAGGCTGGGCCCCACCACTAATTCATTGAATTTTACGAAAATAACGGGGTATAAGGTTAGAGCAGGTGTTGGCTTTGGTTAAGGTTAGGGTAAGCCTCCAGGAAATGAATGTAAGCCCTGTAGGTGACGACCGCGAGGATGTGTGTGTGTGTGTGTGTGTGCTACTAACAGTGTGGACAGGTTGGGCAGAGTGTCGAAGGCTCCAGGCAGGATGGTGCTCAGCTGGTTGTCGTAGAGGGACAGCAGCCTGACGCTGGTCAAACCCGTGAAGCTGCCGTTATATACAGCTGATCCTGTTGTTCCTCAGCATCCTACACACACACACACACACACACACACAAAGCTAGTCACACACATTTTACCTGCAAACTATTTTTCAAAGCATTTCAGAAGCTTCCTATGTATTTCTCCTGACAGTCACTGGTTACACTGGTGATCACTGTTCTCTTATTGAGAAACTGGTTTATTCGGTCATTCTTCTAAACACAAGAGGAGGAGTGTGAGGTGAACCTACAGCATGCGGAGTCCCTCCATGCCTTTGAACATGCTCCCTTGGACAGACTCCAGGTGATTGGCCGTCAGGTGAAGCTCCACCACCGAGGAGGCACCTTCAAACGCCCCGTCCTCAATTTCTGAGATCTTGTTATTGCTCAGGTTACTGAAAGGAAGGACAAAACCCAAATGATGAAATGTTTCTTACAGTCTGTGGTTTTCACACACTGGTCCGTCACAAGCTCCGTTCGTACAGATTCAGAATGCTCAGTCCAAGTGAACATGGTCATTCAGCAGAACGAAGGCCCACTCTGCTGAAACCAGCTGAAAAAAGCTCCCAGTCTCAGTTCGGACACCCTCTCTACCTTTAAGAATAGACTTAAGACGTTCCTTTTTGATAAAGCTAATGGTTAGGGCTGGATCAGGTGACCCTGAGCTTTCACTTAGTGATGCTGCTATAGGCCTAGGCTGCCGGTGGGGGGGGGGGTCTTCTGTTTAGAATTTTTCCTCCCTGCTGTCGCCAAATTCTGTTCAATTGGGATTAGTTAGGTTTTTCTTCTGTAATAATAATTACAGTAGGGTCTAGACCTTAGTTTGTAAAGTGTCCTGAGACAACCTTTGTTGTGATTTGGTGCAATACAAATAAAATTGAATTGGATTTAAATGAACTATCAAGTGCTCTTGTTACTGTAGTGAAAACCTTTTACAATCAAAAAATCATAAATCCTCTGTTCACATAGGCATATTTAGTTTTAAAAGTCTGTGGGAGGTTTGTTTAGATAACTGCATGGGTATTTGTCATTCTGAGTGACCTACATTTTCTTGAGCTGAGACAGGCCCTTAAAGGCTCCGGTGGCCTCCAGCACAGACAGGTCGTTGTTGTTGAGGCGCCTGGGACAATCACAAAGAGCAGACATGGAAACATCATTAGCTGAAGAGTCAGTTTGGGATGTGAGTGTTTGTCCAGTGAGTGTGCATCCATACAGTATGAGTCCATACACATGTCAACATAGACGTTCGTACGGTTGGTTAAAACTAATGTGTCTGCTACAGCAGTTCTGTAATAAATCCTCCTCCATGAAAACAACAAGCTTCAGTTATTTCAGGAACCATTGTTGATTCAACTGTACAGAAAGAAAACTGGTCTGAAAACTACTGAGTCATTTATCAAGCACAAATATCAAACATTTAATGATTCCAGCTTCTGAAATGTAATGACTTGTTCACTGTCACAGCTTCATATCAATGTAAACTGAATATTTTGGACTGTTGATCAGACA